GACATTGTTCATGTGAAAGTGCCTTATGTCCACACAGTGATTGGAAGTGGTTGCTAATGAAGGTGTTGTCTGGGGTGGGAGTTGACCTGGACATTCTCTGTAGCAGTTGGTGGTTCTTGGGACGTGAGCATTTGTGTCAGAGTGGGCTACAACTGCCACACGAATGTGAGCTCCCATGGCAAAACTCTTATCTTGGAAATAAAGGCCCAAGAGATCTTTGAAGTGGGGAGGTAGATCACAGGGCCTGTGTCTGGACTGAGGAGAGGCTTTGCCCCTGGAGGATTTAGGGTTGATTGCAGACCCAGGACGGGAGCATGGGGTCAGGATTGCATGACGCGTCTATTCTGCTGAGATCTGCACACAGAAAGCAAGAGGCCGCGGGCCGTGGAGTGGCAAATGCTGCCTGGGATCATCACTCGCAGTCATTGACTGTTACCCGCCACCCTTTTTTCTGCCTTTACATAAACACATCTAGTTTTTTTCCACCTCTGCAAGAGCAGTCCTCTCTCCCCACTCCTTCTGCCCCACCTCATTCTCTTGGTCTTTCTCCTGGGGTAGAGCTGGGGTCTCACGCATGCCATCTAAGTGCTGCTCTGCCATCAAACCCCATTTCCAGCCCTCTAATTCCATTTCTTACTCGATGCTTGGCCACATGGATTTGGAGACGAGCGTATGCGTTAGCAGCATGCAATAGTTTCTAGTATCCAGGACCGAGAGGGCTTGGTGAGTAAGCAATAGTTTTGAGGTGAGAAGCCAAGTCCGTGTGTTTCAGGTAAAGAATTAACCATCTGACTCATCCTCCCTGTGCCCAAAGAGCAGTGTCTGTTGCCATGGAACGCAGGTGAGGGAAGGCGGTTCCTGGCCTTACTGCTTCTCCCATGAGGCTTAGGATGCGTCTCCAAGTGATGCAGTACCGTGACACAGCATGGAGAAGAGCAGGGTGTTACTTCTCTTTTACAATAGCAGGTTTTGTTGCATAGGAATTTGCCCAAAGTCAGAGTTTTAGGGCAGAATCCTGGGCCTCATCCTCAATATGGAGCTTGGGGCCTCCCCTATTAGATTCCTCCAGCTTTTGCGCCCTGTAGCACTGTGTCAGTAGTTCCTACCACCTCCCCTCAGGCCCAGGAATAAGCTCCCTTGAAGAGAAGTTCCAACCCAGTCGTTTGCCACAGAAGTATGCTCTGTTCTTCCTGTGGCTTGGTTTTGATCTTTGGACCCTTGCCTGCTACCTCCAAAATACAGTTCTAATAGTGATAATAAAATAAAATGTGGTACAGAGGCGATGAATGGCCTGGGAGTGCCATCTCCAGCCTGTGGGCCTCTGGCCAGCAGGCGCACAAGACACAGATGTGTGGATATTTCTGATAAGGGGAGGGCGTGAGCGTCATCGTTGGTACTCCCAAATACCATGCCAAGTACGGGCAAAATGGGATGGCTCCATCACCTCCCCTGTGTGTACTCCCTCCACAGCCCTGCCCCCTTCCCCTTGCCATCCTCCTGCCTCAGCCTCCTAGGAGGGTGCACCGTCGCCCACCAGCTGACTTCCTGCTGACTTTTCATCTACACTTCCTGTTTGTCTGACTCCTATCATACTGCACTTTGCTTTCCTTCAGACCTGTATCGCATGTCTCTGTGTCTCATCTTCTCTGCCCAGGGCTTCTCTCTCTGCATGCTCCTTCCTGCTTTCAGTTCTCCTACCACTCCTAATACCAGCAGCACTCAGAGCTGGCCTGTGTCCCCAGCCCGCTCCTTCCCTGTCCCTCATGTTCCTTTTTTTTTTGTCTTTTTTGAGATGGGGTCACACTGTGCAGTGTGTACAGTCCAGGCTGGCCTTGAGCTCTCTTTGTAGCACAGGGTGGTCCCGAACTCACATGGATCCTCCTGCCTCAGCCTCCTAATTGTTGGGATTACAGGCATGTGCCACCACGCTTGGCCCTCTCTTTGATTCTTTTTTTTTTTTTTGCGGTACTGGGGATTGAACTCAGGACCCTGCGCTTGCCAGGCAAGCACTTATTCACACTTATTCTACTGAGCTATCTCCCCGGCACCCCTCTTTGATGTATCCTTGTCTTTTGCAAGCCTGACAGTTACTTTTCTTCCCATGTCTTGCACTTCTTCCCAGCTAACATGCGTCATCCTAAAAGACTCTGGAGTCTTCTCAGGTGCATCCTGAGTGAAATCCTGCCTCCCTGTGACTTAATTTCTTCTCTGCACCTCTGTAATGCTCTGTTCATGTATCAGTCTGACCTGCGGGATTCTCGGGGTTGGCAAGCAAGGACTTGTCTTGTTTGTGCGTCCACCTGTGTATGGGTCGGGGGCTGGCGTCTTCTGGTGCACATCTGTTGAATGGATTAGTGTTAGTACCCAACACTGAGCTTTGGAAAAATCTGGAAAGTGTCTACAGATACAGAAATGCTGAGCCTTTCTTTCTTTTTGTTAGGTTAAGGTGACAGTGCCGGGCGGATCAGCAGCCAGCCCACCGCCCCCTGCAGGCGTACCAAGACCCCAGAAGCATGGAGGAGAGGAAGCAAGAAGCCGTGAACCAGGCTCACGTCCTCTTTGACCGGTTTGTCCAGGCCACCACCTGCAAAGGGACTCTCAAGGCCTTCCAGGAACTGTGCGACCACCTGGAGCTGAAGCCCAAGGACTACCGCTCCTTCTACCACAAGCTCAAGTCCAAGCTCAACTACTGGAAGGCCAAAGCCCTCTGGGCCAAGTTGGACAAGCGGGGCAGTCACAAAGACTACAAGAAGGGGAAGGCATGCACTAACACCAAGGTAGGCGCTCAGCTGCTCTGGGGCCCTTGGTCCCCTGGCATGGGGCCCTTGGTCCCCTGGCATGAGAATTTGACCAGATGCCAGCCAGAAGGACCGAGTAAGCCAGGCATGATGGCGCATACCTGTAATCCCAGCATTCAGGAAGCTGAGGCAGGAGGATGGTAATGAGTTCAAGGCCAGCCCTAGCTACATAGTGAGACCCAGTCTCAAGAAAATTAAAGGAAAGAAAAAAGGAGTATTGAGTGGAAGTAGATGGGGTAAGAACCAGGCAGAGTCTAGGGTTACCATAGGAAGTTAAGCTTAGACCTCAATGAAACTGTCGATCCTTGACAGTGCATTTGACTGTTCCTGATCTATTTGAGCATCCTCTGTGTATTTACATGTTGAACAAACTTTCAGATATTTAAGAAGACTGAAGACCCTGGAAGGTAGAGTCTTTATTTTGGCAGAACTATACTTTGAACCTGGCTCTGTTAGGAGGGTGCATGTCACTTATCAGGGATGTAGCCAGGCCCTGTTGGTGTCCTATCAGGATGTGGCCTGTGATTCTTAGCATACTAGTACCTACTCTTTTTTGTGTGTGTGTGTGGAACCAGGGATTGAACTCAGGCCCTTGTGCTTGCCAGGGAAGCACTTATTCTACTGAGCCATCACCCCAGTCCCATACTAGTACCTAGTAAGGATTTGCCAGAACTTCAGACCAACTTATCCTTATATCCAAAGTCTGGTTGTGGTTCATATGCAGGAACCATGTGAACTGAAATATTTCTGTTGGTTTCTTCACAGTGTAGAGAAGTGGGTTACTATGAGACAGGTGGGCTGCCACAGGGACCTGAAATGTGCATTTACCTGTGTAGGGGTAGAGGTGAAAGTGGAAAGAGAGGTCCTTTGCTGCTGTTGTTTGAGGCGAGGTTTTGCTATGTAGTTCAGGTTGGTCCTGAACTCACTATGTAACTCAGGTTGGCCTTGAACTTGCAACAGTCCGTCTGCCTCAGCCTCCTGAGTGCTGGGGTTACAGTTGTGTGTCACTCCTGGGTCTCTTCTTGTAAGAACATCTCTGAGAAACTGGAAGAAGCCAGCAAGGAAACAAATTTGCAAATGACTGTGGAGCTACATTATTGTCTTTTCATGAGCATTAACTTGCCCTTTATGGATACCCTGACACCTACCCTAGTGGATTTATATCTGAATAGCCCATCATCAGCAATATTCAGAACATTTCAAGGCATGACTTTCATGAGCGAGTACTAGACTTCATTAAGAATGTAAGGAATATGCCGAAACTGGGCATGGTGGTGCATGCCTATAATTCCAGCGCTGGGGAGGCTGAGACAGGAGGGTGATTATGAGTCTGATCTGCATAGTAAGACCCTGTATAAACAAAAATAAATAAATATTTTTTTAATTAAAAAAAAGAATAGGAATGCAGAGCCACAAATATTGCCCGTGTTCTTTCTGTGCATATACTACAAACTGGTTAAGATCAGTGTCCATTAGCCTTAGGGTGAATACTAGAGCATGGATTTTCAAGAGCATTTCCTTGGACTGTTAGCCTAGAAATGATGGATTTAGAAACTTTTACAGTACATGAAAATTTGGGTCAGGAAAGTTGTCCTCTGAGAGTCATTTGTGTGGTAGAACTCTTTACAAAGCTTGCCTCTTGATAAAAGATTAGATGTGGTTTTCCAATCACTTGATGGGATGAGGACCCATTTAAGTATGTCGCAGATCTGTGGGTCATGTAGGCTGTCCAAGGCAGACATGTGTGGGGCTTACCTGTAGCTCTGACTGTTCAGTCTTTTCCACCCACAGCTACCATGAGCTTCTCTCAGGTCATGGAAGGTGTTCTCCTGGGACTAAGGCGTGTTTGAAATTTTCATGGGAGGAGGAGAATTGTCCTAGTTAGTGGCTTTTGAGATTGAGGGTTAGAGATCATAACTCTCTCTAGAACTGTGTTTTGGGAAGTGTAGCATTTGCCCTGAAGCAGCTGTGTTTTCCAGTGTCTCATCATTGGAGCTGGACCCTGTGGTCTCCGAACAGCCATTGACTTGTCTTTACTGGGAGCCAAGGTTGTTGTTATCGAGAAGCGAGATGCCTTTTCCCGCAACAACGTCCTGCATCTCTGGCCCTTCACCATACATGATCTTCGAGGTCTGGGTGCCAAAAAGTTCTATGGCAAGTTCTGTGCTGGAGCTATCGACCATATCAGTGAGTAACACCAGCTCTCCTGTAATATTCCACCCCTGCATGCTTGTTCAGTAGACAAGACGCAGGTCAGTTACGTGACGAATTCCTCCTACTCAGCAGCCCAGTTTCTTCTGATCTTGTTGGTGTCTACCATGTCGCACTCACACTCCACCTGGAGTCAAAATACCCACACCAGTGCTTCTGTAGCCTGGGATTCTGAACTACAGGCGTGTGCCCTGTGCTAGGAGCCTGGCTTAGGGATGCTTGAGCACTCATGTGGGTGGACAGGGCACCAGGCCAGCGGCATAGTCCAGCGGAAGCAGAACCAGGCAGGCCGTGGCGCTCTGCAGTAGGACCCTCAGATGCTCTGCTGGCGTGGGAGCAAAGTGCTGTGGGCTGCAGCCCTGAGCAAACCGTGCTTACAAAGGAAGCAGAGCCCTGGCGTGGTCATGAGTGGCAAGTCATCGGCAAGACCCATCTGGTTCGGGGGTTCTTGTGACGTCTGCAGCCAGAACAGCTCTGGCCGTTTTCATGCCATTTTCAAGCTCAGTTAGGGCTAGATTGTTCTGGGAGAGGTACATATAACTAACGAAGACAGGGATTCATTTTAGTGGCTGTAAGTGCCCTACCTGAAAATCAATTCAGGTCAATGTCTGTATTATGACATCACTTTTTTAAAAAAAAATTGATTATTAATAATGATTCCACAAAGTTGTATCAAGGAACCTTTGTTCCGAGCACTTCAGAGATGTATTTACAACTATGTTCTCTAAGTATATTCAGCCACGGGACCTTTTGCTCTTATGAAGTGGTTGTACCCATTTATTAAGCCCTGGCTGACAGCTGCCACATTCCGTTGGCAGAGGAAGTGCTCTCCCCTTCTGCCAGGCTGTAATTTGTGAAGCATCTTGGAGCCCACGGTTGTTGCAGAAATAAAACATGTGCTAGCACACAACTGAATGAGTCTTTGCGAGTGTGACTCAGAAGGGTGGTGGTTGTGGTAAGCTGAGGAAAATAAGGAAGGCCGGGCAGGGCGTGCATGTGCTCCTGGCAGATTAGTTGTGCTAGATAACAGGCTTGCTTGGCCATGAGAGAAGATTGAAGCTCATTAATTCATGCTCTGGATCCCCCTTGTGTGTGACAGAATTTATTTTGGGCCTAAGAGGGTCTTGGACCAGGGACTAGACTTCTCTCTCTACCTGGTGTTGCTCATGTGTAGCAGCAGGTAGAGACTCACTGGACAGTGAATAAATATGCAGATCTCACTGTGATAGGAAAATGAGATTCTCGATCACTTTGGGCCTCAGTTTGCACAGTGCAGATCTGTGGGAGAGGGGAGGGGGAGGGGTGGGGCGTGGTAGGGCTATGTTTCCCCCGCTCACTTGGTAGGAGTGTGTGCAGTCAGGCTTTTGCAGCTGCCCTGCATGCATGAGGTGGCTGGATGGAAGCAGCGTGATGGCATCCGTCGTGCGGAGCTGTGGAACACATGCCTATGGGCCTGCCTCCCTGGGTCTCGCAGCCGGACTGTGTCCTGTCAGCACTGTAGCTACTGCTGGTAGTGGTAGCTCTTGCTGGACCAGGGAAGAGGAAAGGGAGTCTCCTGTTGGCCACAGTCCAGCGTGTCTCTGAAGTTTGGGTTTAGAGTACCCCACTCCAGAGCTGAGGATGTACTTCCCGTGAGTCTAGAACATCTCTTCTACAGGTTTACATTTACCCTAAAAAAGAAGTAGCTAGGTCAAGACTCGGAAAATGTTTCCCGCTACAGAAGACTTTGATATGTAGGTTTATTTGTGAGACTCCCCCTCCCCCCGCCCCCACACTCTCTTGTTTATACTGGGCTGGAGATCAAGCCCAGGACCTAGTGCATGGTAGGCAGGCCTGTACAGATGGCTCGGAGCGCTGGAGTGGACTGTGGGCAGGGAGGCAAGTGGGTGCCTCTGCTCCACGTGCCCTTGCCAAACCTGTCTTTTCATTCACCCAGGTATCCGTCAGCTCCAGCTCATACTTTTGAAAGTAGCCTTGATCTTGGGCATCGAAATCCATGTCAATGTAGAATTCCAAGGACTTGTACAGCCTCCTGAGGACCAAGAGAATGAACGTAAGTTGGCTTAGACAAATGGAGAAGGCATGAAAGGACACTGGATGGGATTGAGGATGAGGAAGGGAGAAAACAAGCAGAACCGGCAGGCTGTTGGGAGCAGGAGGTAAAGGTGTGCTTTGTTCATGCACCTGCGCTCTGGAGGACTTTGGGCCTCGTGAGGAGCCCTCAGACATTTACACTATAGAGAACTGGAAGGTGGACAGAGTGTGAGCCCCTCCAAGGCTCCTTGCTATCTGGCTCACTGTTTCTGGCCTGGGTTTTGGTGCAGTCTGTATTCATGAGTATTGGAGATAGTGCTCAGAGGTGTGCATTTGGCCTGGAGTTGACCTTCATTTTGCCCCTGGCTTCCAGGGATAGGTTGGCGAGCACTGGTGCACCCCAAAACTCATCCTGTGTCTGAGTTTGAATTTGAAGTGATCATCGGTGGAGATGGCCGTAGGAACACCTTGGAAGGTACTAGTTTGCGCCCCTTTGTCTGGTACATTGGCAGAGGGGACCCTGACCCTGACCCCAGAGCCCAGACCCCTGCCAGTCTTCCTCCGGACAGGGTCCCTCTTGTTAGGAGATGCACTGGACCTGGAAGGCCTGATACTGCAGGATCTACCCTGCAGGTTAAAAAGCTGACTCAGCCCCTTCCCTCCCTTGTTAGATGGTTCCTCCAGTGCTGATTAACGTTCTGGTCATCTAGACTTCAGGTGGTTTGTTACTGATGTGGGAGATTTTTACTTCAATGATGAATTCTGTGTTTTGGTGGGTAAGCAGCTTATTTTCAGAGGGAGAACAACTACCCTAAAATTTTTCCATGAACTCATGCCCCAACTTCCCTGGTGTCTCCAGTAGCAGGCCCCTCACAGGAAACAGTCCTCTGCTCCATCTCGGTGTCGCTACCTCTGATTATTCTCTCCCTCCAGGTTTTCGTCGCAAAGAATTCCGTGGCAAACTAGCTATTGCCATTACAGCAAATTTTATTAATCGAAATACAACTGCAGAAGCCAAAGTGGAGGAGATCAGTGGCGTGGCCTTTATATTCAACCAAAAGTTTTTCCAGGAATTGCGAGAAGCCACAGGTTAGTGTCAGTGCCTCCTAAGCACTGAGGACAGACACTGACGTAGCTGCTCGCTGCTTTGCTCCTGAGAGCTGGGTCAGGTGGGAGGTGTTGGCGGTGCTGCAGGGTTGTCTGCCGTGTGCTTTCTACTCTGAAGTTCTGTTAGCATAGTGTTCCCTCACTGTTCATCTCTTACTCTACTATTCTCAGTGCTCAGTGCACTGACGGGGAGCTCTAGGGTACTTTTTTTTTTTTTTTTTAACTTTCTTGTTAAGTGTTCATTCTGTCTTTTACAAACTCATCTCCAGCCCCTTATCGCTACCCTGTGATGCTAAGTTACAGTGCAACCTGCCTTTTGGTAGCCTTCTCGTTTTATCGGGTACCTGGCCTTAGGTATTAAGTACGTAGTCTTCCTGAATTCCAGTTTGAGCCCAAAAGTCAGCCATGTGCCAGATGGAATGAGACGTTGTGTGGCACTGAGAGTGTGGCTCAGTGGCAGAATGCTTGGCTAACACGTGTAAGGCCCTGCGCTTGATCCCTAGCCCTAGAAAGAATGGAGGGGAAGATGGTTCTGTGGTTGCTTTTAAGTAGTTTAGATATGTAGATGCATCAAAAAATGTATTTCTATTCTATTTTCTAGAACTTGACTTCTTTCCAATAATTTATCCTGTTCTTAAAAATATAGTAAACAAGTTCTCTAGTTGCTTTCCTCTTTCTTCTTCTTCTTCTTCTTCTTCTTCTTCTTCTTCTTCTTCTTCTTCTTCTTCTTCTTCTTCTTCTTCTTCTTCTTCTTCTTCCTCTTCCTCTTCCTCTTCCTCTTCCTCTTCCTCCTTCCTCCTTCCTCCTTCCTCCTTCCTCCTTCCTCCTTCCTCCTTCTTCCTTCTTCCTTCTTCCTTCTTCCTTCTTTTTTTTTTTTTTGTGTGTGTGTGTCCAGCTCAGCCCACCCTGGGGGCAGGACTGGCATAGAATGTGGTACCCAGGATCGAACCACAGCACCTGCGTTTGCCTAAGTAGGTGCTTTAGATGGCTGGGCTATCTCACTGGCCCCCTCTGGCTTTCTTGATGACTGCTGAACAGCTTTGCTTTTTTTTTTTTTTTTTTTGGTACCAGGGCTCGAACTCAGGACCTTGCACTTGCCAGGCAAACACTTATTACTCCACTGAGCTATCGCCCCAGCCCTCTGAATAGCTTTAGCCTGTTAAGTAATCCATATCCTCTTGCACAGGTTAGCCTTGCTTTTGTTCTGTTTTTGTCATATTTTTATTTACTTTTGATTATTGTTTTCTGGATAACTTAAGGTGTTATATGAATTACAAGACAGAACAAAGAGAAACAAAGCTTTTCTTGTTTTCAGGAACTAAATGTGCAAGAAATTAGAATCTGAGCTAGACATCTTTCCCGCCTAGAGTTTTCCAGCGCTATCTCTGCAGACCCAAGTACAATCTTCTGGCTGCCCTGAAGCCTCGAAGTCAGCAAACTCTTTACACATACATTTGTTTTCTGTTCACAGGTATTGACTTGGAGAACATCGTTTACTACAAAGATGACACACACTATTTCGTTATGACAGCCAAAAAGCAGAGTTTACTGGACAAAGGGGTGATACTGCATGTGAGCAACGGGTTTCTTTCAAGCCACTTATTTGTTGACCTAGTTAATGTGATCACCAAGAGAAAGAGTTTTATTAGCTGATGGGTTTTTCCTGCAAAGGAATGAAAATGAGCACTGAAGATACCTAGAAATTGTTTATTTTATTTAGTATAGTTTTGGAAAATATCATGTTTGAGAAAAGTGTATCATTATATAATATTTATTATAATTGCAAGTAGAAGTGGAGAGGTCTGCTGAACTTGAGTGTCATCCTTCTACTTCAACAATTATCAACAGAGTAAACACTGTTTCAAGAAAACCCCAACCCACTCCCCTTACTGTCAGATTATTGCAAAGCAAGACTCAAGGTATGTCGTGTGCACAGATTCAGTGTAATTTTAGGCGTCTTGGTTTGTGGGGATAGAGAATTTCATACATGACCGGTTACTAGTTGGTGAGTGGGTACTCTTTATTGGGAGGCGGCGATAGCAAGAAGAGAATCTGAGCCAGAGGCAAGGGTTGCTACTTACGGCAGGCTGACGGTGGCTCTAGTTTTACTGTGGATTTTGTTGTTGGAGGGCCAGCGATCTTTCTGACTCAACCACAAGGCAGGCTCATCCCAGCTGTTTCTGGGTGATGAGTGTAGGTTCCGCCCTGAGTTGATTTTCTGAAGTCGGAGACTCCCAGGGTGGATGGGGTGGGGGTGGGGGCTCCTTCAGGAGCGGCCTCGGGTCTCATTGTCTGAATATGAGCGTTGCTGTCCCCATGAGATGAGGCAGAGAGCACCATCAGATGGTGGATCTCAGGGAGCCCTTTGTCTGCAAGACGACCGTGAATCATCATTTAGTCCGAGTCACACTGTTGCCTTATGTGAGGACAGAGCGGGGAGCAGGCTGAGGAGCACGTGCTTGGAACAGGAGTCTCCCTCCCACCCGTGAGCCCCGTGTCTCCCTCGGCATAGAGGTCCTGTGTATGACGGGAGCAACGGGACAGAGCGGCTTACTTAGCCCTTTCTGTGGAAACAAAAGCTAGATGCACTTGGCTCGCAGCTTCAGAGTGGGCTTGTTCATTATCTGCTGCTCTTCATCGCCGTCACTGAGCACAAGGTCAGCACGAAGCACTTGGGCTGCCATAGGACCAAGTTAAGACTTAAGTGTACTGTCTTGGCAGAGCTGTGGTTTAGGACCGAAATGAGATAAGAGTAGTTTAGAATGCCAAAATCTACTCTTATTCATTACCCTTTACTTCTACTCCAGGTTTATTTTTGTAGGGGGCGGGGGCAGCACCTTCTGTGTGTATAACTAAATTCTAAAACCATTATGGCCACTTAATGTTGAACAAACAGTTTCCAGGACCCACACGAGTGTTTGTGTTTTGCTTTTGACATCTTGTAGTTGTAGCTGAAAGTACTGTGGGCGGCACTTGGAACCGCAGGCCACACTTAGGAGAACAAAGGCTTAGCTCAGTGCAGGGAACCTCCAAATCAGGAAAGGAGTTTTGCCATCCTGTGTGGAAAGCTTTTATTATTTTTCCAAGCCAGGACTCCACTACATAGTTCAGGCTGGGCTTGATGTCATGACGTTCCTCCTACCTCAGCCTCCCGCTGGCATGATAGGTGTGTACCGCTATGCCCAGTGACAGCCTTTTTTCTCTGACCTTCATTTTCTTAATTGGTGAGTTCTGTACAGCCTTGCAGACTCTTTTATCTAACTCTGAAAACCATTTTCAATGTATCCTGCCACGTCTTGCGTGACTGCTGTGGCTCGTGTTCTTATATCCTTTTGGCCCCCGTTGCCACATTCTTCCTTGGGGTGTCATGAGCCACCCAAGGCTGTTTCCTGTGGTCCCAGCAGCCTACAGCTACCATAATCATCCAAAAGATGATTGTGCAGTTGGTACACATAGACCATGAAGTGCCCTTTCTGTAGAGTACCAGCATGTGCATGATTTTATTTCACATGGGAACAACGCTGTGAAGCAATTTGGCCACGATCTAGGAGCAGTGCCTTGCTCCAAGTAAAATCAAGGCTAGGACTGATTTTAGGCAGCCAATTCTATGTAAAAATGGTCCAGCATTTTTTCTTTTTAATCTGTGTAAAAGGTTCAGTTTTTGGAATAAGAAAGCTGCAAAAATAGATATATCTGCCACACACCACGTGGTCCTGGCTGGCCTTGCCAGTCAGTCCCTGCCTGGGCTGTTCCATCCTGTGCATCTTCTCTCTCTGGCCAGGATTACACTGACACCGAACTCTTGCTTTCTCGGGAGAATGTGGACCAGGAAGCCCTGCTGAACTACGCACGGGAGGCAGCGGACTTCTCCACCCAGCAGCAGCTGCCTTCTCTAGACTTTGCCATTAACCACTACGGGCAGCCCGACGTGGCCATGTTTGATTTCACATGCATGTACGCCTCTGAGAATGCTGCCTTGGTGCGGGAGCAGAACGGTCACCAGTTACTAGTGGCCCTGGTTGGGGACAGCCTCCTAGAGGTACGTACTGGGTCGCAGGGCTTTGTGGGGAGGGTTGGAGTGAAGAGCGTGTCTGGGTAGCCCGGTGAGAGGTGAGGGTCTGCAGCCTGAGGAGCTCCCCGCCGGGGTCACGCCAGTCAGGAGAGGAAGGCCAGCAGGCCCTGGCAACCCCGGCTTGATGAGAGAGTGGAACTCCTGTGACGTTGATGCCCTGCCGGCTCTCAGTTTGTGAACTACAGGAGTCCAGGGTCCAAACAGTAGCCAGGCTCTACTGTCATTAGCAAATTCTTTCTTTGTTCTTTCGCCTCCCTCTTTTAAAAGATGACTATTTTGAACTCTATGTTATGTCTTGCCTGCAGCCTTTCTGGCCAATGGGAACAGGAATAGCCCGGGGCTTCCTCGCTGCTATGGACTCTGCCTGGATGGTACGAAGCTGGTCTCTAGGAGCCAGCCCCCTGGAAGTCCTGGCCGAGAGGTAAGGGGAGAAGCCGTGGCTCCTCGGAGAGGACCGGAAGGAGGGGTGGCTGCTCCTGGGCAGCCGGGCTCTCCCTTAGCATTTCCTGAAATCATAGAAGCCTGGATTATCTGTCTGCTCTCCTCTGATCCCTCTCTTCCTTTCTTTCTTGTCTTTCTTTCTTTTTTCTTTGGTCCCAGGGATTGAACTTGGGACCTTGTGCTTGCCAGGCTAGCACTTATATATTCTCTGTCTCTCTCTGTCTCTCTCCCTCTGCCTGCCTGCCTGCCTGCCTGCCTCCTTCCTTCCTTCCTTCCTTCCTTCCTTCCTTCCTTCCTTCCTTCCTTCCTTTCTTCCTACCTCTTTCTCCCTCCCTCTTCCTTCACCCCTTCCTCTCCTCCTTCTCAGTGTCTAAGTTTATTTGAAAAAGAAAAGTGAAGAGTGAGGGGAAAGCTGGCTCTGCAGAGCAAGCTTGGCCAAATAAAAGAGGAAAAACTAAAATAAAAGTACACCCTGGAGAACACAGGGCGGACTCTTATGAGGCCATACAGCCTCTAATCTCGCTTTCTAAATGGGATTTATGCTGGACACAGTGGCACACACCTATAATTCCAGCACTTGGGAGGCTGAGGCAGGAGGATTACTATGAGTTTAAGGCTGGCCTGGATTACATAGCAAGATCCTCTAAAATTCAAAAAGGTAAAAAAGGGAATTTATAGTGACAAATAACATCTCAATTTTTTATTCCATTGAACAGTGGTATCTGATTCTTTTTTTTTTCCTTTTTTTTTTTCTGATTGCTTTATAATTACATCAGATACATGAAAATGGCAAATCAGATCTTCTTTTCTTTCAACCAAGAAGACTTATACTGATAAAATCAGTGTGATAGTGGGGACTTGCTAGCATAGGAAATTAAAAGTGACTAGTTCAGAGGAAAACCCTAAACTCTGTATAAACATTTATTAAACCCCTAAATGTCGGATGTTTTGAAGTCAAAACTCTCAGATTTTCTTACTGATAAAGAACTTAACACCTTGACCAAGTGAATTAGACAGATAGTTTCCCAGATGAAACTGATAGTTGATACCATTTCAAATCTGTTCTTTAAAGTGTTTTGGCTAAATGTGGTAGCAAGTTCTTTTGTCATCTGTGATTTTTTTTTTCTTTAGAAATAAAAATTGGAGTTCTTGGATAACTCAAAATGCAGCCGCAGTGGTTGCTTTGCAAGTGAAAGCCAGGCCTGTGTCACTGCGTGTAGCGTTGTCTTTGCCCTTCTTGCTAGCTCTCAGCTGACCCGGGGCCAGTGGAATCACTGAGGGTCCATGGGGCGGCTGCAGCCTGTGTGGGATTACAGGAAGCGTGTCAAGGCTGAAGATCAGTCTTGCTTGTCTCAGATAGTTGGTAGGCTGTCAAATCAGAAGTCTTACATGAAGAGAGGGAGGTATGCGTGCTGCTCCTTGCTGCTCTGAGTGCGTTGTGGATATTTTTGCAGGGAAAGCATTTACAGGTTGCTGCCTCAGACCACCCCTGAGAATGTGAGCAAAAATTTCAGCCAATATAGCATCAACCCTGTCACCAGGTATCCCAATATCAATGTCAACTTCCTCCGGCCCGGCCAGGTAAGAGCCTACTAGTTGGTTATGTACGTGGGGGTCTGTTGTCAGAACTGAGCAGAGCTCTGATGTTGTTGTAACTATGTTGGCATTTTCCATACATATGTTTAGTAGTCTCATATGCCTTCGCATATACACTTTCAGAAATCTAAGTCTGTCTGTGGATTATTGGTACTTTCCATCAATACATGGAGTGATAAAGGCAGCGTGTTGTGAATGGCTAGCAGAAGATCACACACGGGCCCGCACTGGACCCAGGGCTTAATGTTTCATTTGCCTTCCACCTGCAGTTTGACCCTTTGGGCTTCTGTGTCTATGTTGGTAAAATCTGTGGTTCATAGGAAGCCGTACTTGTCCTATGGAGACTGTCAGGAAGGCCCTCCATGGCTGACTACATCACTTTTAACACAATGTTGTGTAGTTAGTGTTTGTTTTCTTATAACCTACATCATTTCATGAAGGACTTAGCACATTTGTGAAGGGGATATAATTTGCATGTCTTGCTGTTGATTTGCTGTGATTTGCATGATTGTCTCAGCTCAGCTGCACACAACTGTCCCATCAGGTGGCACCGGACAGTCCTACTGCTTGGTGTGGACAGCCCAGTGGGATGGCCATGCCTGCTCTCTCTGTGGTTCAAGGCGGCAGGAACACATTAAAGGTCACCATTATAGCTTCTATTATAAGCCTTGCCGTGGCGCTGGCTGTGTAGCTCAGGGGTGTAGAGCATGCTAAGTTTCTGGGTTCAACACCACCCCCACCCAGCACCACAAAAAATACAGACTTTAACCAACCTGTTTCTCTAGCCTTTCATCTTTGTCATCCTGCTTTTAGAAAAAAATGTGTACCTTTGTGTTTGATTTTTCTGTCCTTTCAGTTTTTCAACTTTCTTCCAGGTGCGCCATTTATATGATACTGGAGAAACAAAAGATATTCATCTGGAAATGGAGAACCTAGTGAATTCCCGAACTACTCCCAAACTGACCCGCAACGGTGAGTTCTCCGCTGGTGGCTGTCTGAGCGGCAGGCACCATGTTGAGAGAAGCCTGCACCATCATAGCACTCCAAAGCCAGTGGTCCTCGAGCTGGGTGGTTGCCTTCCAGGGCATGTTTGGTTGCTCTGGGGAAATTTTTGATTGTCATGACTTAGGGAGGTTGTCGCTGTCATTTAGTGGGGAATGTAGGGATGCTACTAATCCTCCCACAGTACACAAGGCAGGACCACGCAAGGAAAAATGACCTCTGTTATGAGGATAAAGGGGTAAGTTGGGGGGCCGGGGATATAGCTCAATGGCATAAGCGTCTGCCTGGCAAACGCAAGGTCCTCAGTTCAATCCCCAGTGACACAAAAAAAGGGAGGGGGGTAAGTTGGATACAGATGCCGGAGACAGAAGAGTGTAAGCTCCAGAGGACATGCATGCTCAGAGTTTGGGGGGAAGACTTGTAGAATTTGTGGTATTTATTTGGGTAATGTGACATTGCCGTTGTATATTACAAAGGTGAAAGGCCAGTCCATATTTAGTGTGTATTTAAGGACCCCTGAAAATTTTTTTTTTTACAGTTTCAAAGCTGATTAATAGGACAGTTTCAATAATCAATACATTGTACATTGTTATTTTCTTAGTGGTTATCCATAGTACAGGAAGCAGACAGGATTTCCTGTCCAAACACTATTAGTACACCTCTTTCTTTTCATTAAATTAAGTGAAAGTAGCTGTATATTTATCCTATTTTGTATGTATAAATACAAAATGATCTTTCCTTTGTATCCCTTTTTTTTTTTTTGGTCCTGTCAGAGGTGGATATTCTATTGGCATCTAAATACTATAGGTGTTTGAATTCAGCTAAACTATCTAGCAGTCTATAATGTTAGTGGGTTATCCTCAGAAGTTACTGACTTGAGTCTTTTACAGCTCATCATATTGATATGGATTTACTTTATATACCTTGTTTTTATACTTTTCTGCTGGATGGTTAAGACCAAGATAAAGCAAAACCTATATAACAAGAAGTGTAACTTTTGTATCTGATAAGGTCAGTCAAGTACTCTCAGGATTTATCCTGTAGCCCTGTACTGTACTTTGTAGATCCTTTGTCAGTGTCAGCCATGAGGCTGTCATGGCCATTGCTTGACCATGAAGATGGTTTTTGAAAGGAGAGTGACAGGGGCTGGGGAGATGGCTCAGTGGAATAAGCACTTCCCTGGCAAGCGCAAGGGCCTGAGTTCAATCCCTGGTTCCACCAAAAAAAAAAAGGAGAGTGACATTGAGTATGCCTGGTCAGCTCCATGGAGGTGGGCTGGAGAAGGGAAAGGTGCAGGTGGAGGGAGATGAGTTAGAAACGCCTTGCAGTAGTCAAACTGCAGGTGGTGAAGGCCTGAATCTTGTCCTGAGCTGCTGGGAGAGGAGGGAAGAGGCAGTGGGTCACAGAGGGACTCAGACTCGGGGCTAGGAGTCCAGCCCCAGCGCTGGCATTTGGAAAGTACTCAGAGATCCCTGCATGTCGGGCTCCTTGCTAGTGCGCAGCCCTGACCTTTGGTTCCCTTATCTTTGAAACGCGAGTGACAGCACCTCGCTTACATGGTGATCATGAGGGTTCTGTGACGTGGATGTGGTGCTGATTACTGTGCCCGGCATCTAGTGGGCTGCCGGTGACAACGGCGGTTTTGTCACTGGCATCATTAATTATGTGAGAGAGAATATTAAGAAGTCGGAACTGATAGGCATTGGCAGGAGATTGCTTTGGGGCAGGAATGGATTTGTGTTGGTGTGTATCAGTCTAAACAGGGAAGTGGGAGGCTGAGAAGGTGTGAGCTCCATTTCGGACATTTTAAATGTGATACGCTTTTGGGGTGTCAAAGTGGATATGAGAGTCAGCGAGCAGTTGGAAACATTTTCATCTTTTTTCACTGGTATGTCATCTCCTTGAAACCAGAGAATTTATCTTGTTCACTGTCACTAGTTTGGGGCCTGAAACACCGATGTTGCCCGGGACATATGGGATAGATGACTGCACAGGCTTGGGAAGCAGCTGAATCCAGTTGGTGTCTGAGCCAAGAGATGGCATCAGGAGTGGTTTTATGTGCAGTCTCAGAGCACAAGTCCACAGTAAAGGACATCAAGGGGTTTTCATGATGCTCTGTTTTTACCTTATGTTCACAAATTACTGAACGACTTAGTGCAAAGCTAAATATTTTCAGCTGCCTGAGGGAAAGGAACAGACTTTGTTGGATGTAAGTAGGAATTCACAGATCATGTTAAATGATCCATATCAGAGCTCTTCTGATGCAAGGCTGCTTGGTCCTAGAAGAAACTAAGGATACAGTAGGCCCGTTTGGTTTCTTATATGATCATTTATTTTATTTTATTTTTTTAAATTTTTATTTATTTATTTGTTACAGATAGTTTCAGGGTCAGCATGGCATATGGTACTAGGGATCGAACTCGGGTCCTTGTGCTTGCCAGGCAGGCGCTTAGACAGCTGAGCTATCTCCCCAGCCCTATATGATCACTTATAATACAGTGTGCCACACTGGCATAGGGGGTTGTTCTGGTCTGGGCCTCATTGCCTGGTCAGCATAACATGCAGCTTCCTCACTTGAAGACTGCTTGGTTCCCTGGGAAGCGTGGGAGCAAGGCTTGGTTTGCTTGCAGGTTAAGATGCTGCTAGATAGAATGGCTGCTGGGTAGAATGGAACCTTTTCTAATCTGATCTTCTTGTGTTGCTTTGGAGGAACAGGCTTCCTCAGGCACTTGCCAAGCAGCTCTCCAGGGAAGTCCGAGGGTCATATAGCGAGGAAGGCAGCTCAGAGGTGGCACGCCCCCATCTCCACAGCTTCTAGGAGTGCTGCAGGCACACACGGCTTTAGTAGGAGCAAGTCTGTGTCTCTCAGTTGTGGGATACCAGTCTGTTCAGAGATGGATCTTAGAATCTGGATAAATTGGTATCTAAAGTTAGATTATCAGGGCTGGCCAAATAGCTCAGCAGATTAAAGCTCCTGCAAGCAGGAGCAGGGGCCAGGGGTTCGATCCCCAGGCCTGCCATGCCAGCCCCGCCCCCAGGCACGCTGAGACTGCAATTTTTTTAAAAAATATTTTATTTGTGTGTGTGTGTGTGTGTGTGTGTGTGTGTGTGTGGCCAGCTCAGCCCACCAGGGGGCGGGGCTGGCATGTGGTGCTGGGGGATTGAACCACGGTCCCTGTGCTTTGCTAAGCTTGTTCTAAGTAGGTGCTTTAGACCACTGAGCCATCTCACCAGCCCGAAGACTGCAATTGAGACTAGGTATGGTGGCACATGCCTATAATCCCAGCACTTGGGAGGCTGTAGACAAGTGGATCACTGAGTCTAATCTTGTAGTGAGACCCTGAACACCTTGTAGACCCTTCCTTAAAATACAAAAGTAAAATAAAATTAGATTATCAGAATACCAGCCACACAGCCTCACTCATCAACATTTTATTTTGAAAGCTTGTCATGGCTGTTTTGTCCTACCTTTAGTAATTTTTCAAACTGGTTATATATACTGCAAAGATCTTGTATCAACCTTACTAGGTAAGCACACTTCCAATAATAATTGTTCTCAGGGCTGGCGAGATAGCTCAGTGGACCAAGTGCCTGCTTAGGGAAGCGCAGGGATTGGGGTTCAATCTCTGGCACCACATACCACACCAGCCCCACCCCTGGGTGCACTGAGTCAGCCACCGAGACTGGGTGTGCTGTTGCACACCTATAATCCCAGTGCTGGGGAGGCTGAAAATAGGATCACTACAAGTCCAGGCTGCGTAGTGAGACCTGGTGTCAAGTACGTTAAAAAAAAAAAAGATAACCAATAATAATTGTTCTCATTCTAGAATCTGTAGCTCGTTCCAGCAAACTGCTGGGCTGGTGCCAAAGACAGACGGATGGTTATGCAGGAGTAAATGTGACAGATCTTACTATGTCTTGGAAAAGTGGCCTGGCCCTGTGCGCAATCATCCACAGATACCGCCCTGACCTGATGTAAGTCATGACTCAACTTCATCTTTCATTTCCTATCTCCCGAGGACCTCAGAGCACTGTGCTATCAAGTAGGCAGATTTTGTTCTTTTTCCCATAATGGGGTACATATTAAGATGTTTCCTGTAGAAAGCCAGCATGTTGACCTACTTACATTTAAAAATCATATATCAAACATTATATGACACCACTCAGGAAGGATTAGCTAAGTTTTTAACAATCACAGCACTCACAGGGTTAAAAAGTGGGCCTGTTAACTTCACACAAAGGAAAACTCTGTATATTGACCCCGAGTTGAGCTGTTCCTTTTGGCCAGCTATCTCGCACATGCTCTTGGTGGTCACAAGGGAAACTTGGCTGAAACAGCTGGCCTGCTCGAGACAAATATGTCACTACCCATGAAACAGAAAACAGTGAATACTCACCTGATTTATGATTGCTCATTATTATTTTCTTTGTTAAAGACTGCACTTCTTGCCAGCATGTTCTAAGTTCACGAAGTTCATGTCATCTTTCTCACTGTGCCTGGAACGTCTCTTTTGTCCATTCTTCAGTCACCTGCCTACAAAATCAGGGCACTAGGGTGCCTCTAGGTCTGCTGCAGTGACCATTGCACTCAGATCCCCCCTATGACCATGTGCTACCATGGAAACCAAACAGGATTCAGAAACCAAAGCATGTCCAGTTACTCTGCCTCGCCTTTTTATCACTGGGTTCACTTAAGGGCCCATGTTTTGGTGTATTTTGTTTTAATGATAGCTTAAGAACTCCTCAAAGGCATAGTCCCTATTTGTGTGACTCTAATGGGCTAATGAACCAAGGGCTGTTTAAAAAAATAAAACTGTACAGTGTGGATTAAAGGTGGGGAGGACTGGGGCTCAGTGGTGAGGCACCGACCTGGCAAGCCTGGGGGTCTGAGTTCCACACCTAGCACCCCAAATAGAGGGGTGGGAGACTGTGGTGTGCTTAGTTAAAGGTAAGTGGCCCCCAGCACTCCTTCCACTTAGCTCATCAAGTTGGTAAAAACCAAATGAAAATAATGTGTATTTACTCCCACTGAAGCAAGAGAGGGGGAGGGAAAGCAGCTTGAGGAAAAAAATATTTTTTTTTTAATGTATATAGAATTTGCATATGTATTTGCATATAGTGTTCAGCGCTGTTTAGACTACAATAACTGCAGTCAGGATTAGTGTCCATAGTTTAATAGGCAATGGAAAAGTGCCATGGGGTCCAGTTAACATAAATAGGGCTGTTGAGTTGATCTGAATTCTCCCAAGAAGAATTCTACCAGTCCTTACTCTGAAGCTAAAAACCCAATGGAAATGTTTGTTAAACTAAGTGCTTGGGAAAATTCAGGAAATTTAGCTTTGGGAAAACCTTCGGAGAGTTGTTGGAATTTCCCTATTGGCGGATGAGGAACATTTACCGGAGCTGGTTTAGGATATGAGCAGCTGGTGCTGCTGGTGTGTGAGGCCAAGGCTGCAGGGGCATCTGAGCCGGGCAGCTGCTGCCTCCTCACTGTCTGACATGTGTGTAATACTCGCGGACACACCTAGGGAAGACAGTTCCTGTACCAAGCGTACAGTTCAGTAAGAACTGTGTATTACTGGAAAAATGAAGGAAGTCTTCAACTCTTCCTCTTTTTTTCCTTTATTGGGTAGATTTTTCATCATTTCTTCTTGAGACTGCATTGCATTTCCTTAATAAAAGGAAGGAAAATAATAGTAATAGATTTGTCCTCAAATTCCAGTGGGGCGCTGCTCACTGGATTTTAGTCAAAAGACAAATGAGAAATGATAGTAACTTCATGATAACTGTTTTCTGGTCTGAGGAGAGTCTGCCCAACTCAATCAATTTTGCGTATCCTGTTTCTCAGAGATTTTGATTCTTTGGATGAGCAAAATGTGGAGAAGAATAACCAGCTGGCCTTTGATATCGCTGAGAAGGAGCTGGGCATTTCTCCCATTATGACCGGCAGAGACATGGCGTCAGTGGGGGAGCCTGACAAGCTGTCCATGGTGATGTACCTGACTCAGTTCTACGAGATGTTTAAGGACTCACTGTCCTCCGGCGGTAAGGGCCTCCCTTCCTGCCCAGCTGTCACTGCTTTTCTTCTCTCCCAACTGTTCCTCGTCAGGACCGCTCCATGCCGCACCACCAGGCTCAGGAGAGGGAGGTGCTGGAAGCTTCCTTCTTTAGTAGTTCTCAGGCACTCATTCTTTTCAACATCTTTTTTACTTATAAATATGCAAAAAATCATTGCTGCCTAAACTTCTGCTTTTACAGTGCTGAGAGTGGAACCGAGAGCCTCATCACACTGGTAGTGTGCTTTCCCACAGAGCTACATCCCCAGGCCTCTGTCTGAACTTTCGTTCCATGACTTTCCTCTCTTCTCCTACCCATTCTCTCAGAACCAGTCTTTCAGAAGAAATGTGTCACAGTTGTGGTCTCCGTGTGCTCTGCACCTCAACTGTAACATTTCATTTATTTATTGAAGTGACTTTATTATTTATTTCAGTGACTTTTTCTTTTTCTTTTTTTTTTTTAGTACCAGGAATTGAACTCAGGACCTTGCACTTACCAGGCAGGCACTGTGCTACTAGGAGCTATATCCCTGGCCCCTCAACTGTAACATTTCACAACCTGCCACTTTTTCGGGTGTTCTCTAAGCAGTTCCCCACAGTGAAAAGAGTCAGAAGCCAATTCCTCTTCCCTGGAATTCTGTCCTTGGCTTCTATGATCCACGCTAGGTTTTTTTTTTCCTCCTTTTTTTGTGCCAGTGTTCTGTGGCTTATCTTTATCCCTACATGTTATCCCTACTCAGAACCTTTTATTAGCCCTTAGCCTGCTGCCTCAGTCTATGATCGCACTATAAAAAAATATTCCTGTTGGGCTGGGAGATAGCTCAGCGGTCCAGGTGCCTGCCAGGCAAACTCAGGGACCCAGGTTCCATCCTGGTTACCACATGCCATGCCAACCCTGGGTGTCAAGCCAGCCCCCAAAACCGGGTGTGGTGGTGTACACCTGTAATCCTAGCACTGGGGAGGCTGAGACAGGTGGATCACGACAAGTCTGAGCTTTGTAGTGAGACCCTTACCAAATAAGTGAGTTTAAAATAATAATGAAAAATGTTAGCAATATTATTACTAAGCTTCAAATGCTATTTGACTAATTTTTACTCATATTTTACTAATTAGTCATTATGTAACTAATAAAATGTACAGTGCCCAGAGTGGGGTACCTGCGCCCAGTGCCTCCCAGCCTGTGCCGCTTTAGCCCTCTGTGGTTTCTCCTGATCGCACACAGTTCTTAGCATGGCCATGCGCTGCTCCGGCGAGCTCACCTCTCAGGGCGAGAGCCCTTCATGTGCAGCCCAGAGCCTGCTCTCTTCTGCCACCAAAGGTGATGGCCTTGATTATGCACCTCTCTGCTCTCCTGTCTCCATTTGCTCTCTGTCCTGAAATTTTAATCACCAATGTGAGGCTTCCCCACTCTGCTTAATCATTACAGGCAGATTACAGCCTTTTGAAAAGTGGAAGTACAGGTTTTATGACCAAAGTGTATTCTGAATATCCTTTTCTTCTTGTACCAAGAACTCATGACCTCATGCTTGGCAGGCAGGCTCTGTGTCGCTGAGCTAAGTCCTCGGCCTTAAGTATATTTTTAAAAAGTTGGTTTTGTCTGTGTGGATAGAAAAGAGGAGGCTCAGTGTGCACACCCAAGTGTGCATTTCCTTTGTGGCATTTCCTGCAGAGACTTGTGTGTTTTGTCATAGTCCATGAGCCTTTAGCACTCCCTGGAAAGTTCCCTCCCGTGAGTACCTGCAGGGGAGTGGAGTCTGGTTAGGACTTCATGGCTGTCTCTGGGGGTGTCCTTGAGCTTTGTGACTTCTGTTCCAGATACCTTGGACCTGAATGCTGAAGAGAAAGCAGTCTTGATTGCCAGCACCAAGTCCCCCATCTCCTTCCTGAGCAAGCTCGGGCAGACCATCTCTCGGAAGCGCTCTCCCAAGGTACACATGCAGGGGTTGTAATGCGGGCAGCTGCAGAGCCGCTGGCAAGGTGGGCACCTGGCTAATACAGTCCTCCTTCTCTTCTGGTACAGGATAAGAAGGAAAAGGACTTGGACGGAGCTGGGAAGAGGAGAAAGACTAGTCAGTCAGATGAGGTGAGCTTCATCTATGATTTGCTAGAATGGTTATGCTAAATTCCTCTTCTGGTTAAAATCCTTAATTCCCAAATTAGTTCGCTTGATCTTTGCAGATTATTATTATTATTATTATTATTTTATTTATTTATTTATTTATTTATTTTTGCAGAACCAGGGATTGAACTCAGGCTCTTGCACTTGCCAGGCAAGTGTTTATTCTACTGAGCCATCTCCCCAGCCCCCACGTATTTATTCTTTATGAGAATATCCATGGGCAGATGCCTTTGTTTTTTTTGTTTTATATTTTGTTTTTGTCTTTTTGAAATAGGATCTTGCTGTGTAGTTTAGGCTGGCCTTGAGCTCACTTTGTAGCCCAGGCTAATCTCGAACTCAGAACACTACTCCTGCCTCAGCATCTCTAGTGCTGGGATTACAGGCATGCGCCAGTGTGCCTGGCCAAGGGCAGATGCCTTTGTGTTGGCTTTTGTCTTTCATTATTTGGAAAGCACCAGGGAAATATGCACACACATGCTCTCAGGCCTTGTGTTCTTGTGAAAGCACACTGGACAAGGCCCGGTGGCTTTCCTGGGCTATGCTATGACGATACCGACACAAGTCTGAATAGCAGTACTGCCCAGAGTGCCATGCTCTTGCTGGCTGTTGGGATCAGCACCTCAGAAATTGCTGGCGAGCCCAAGCCGCTGTGCAGATCCTGACCACGCTGCTTGGAGGTCCTAGCAAATGGGTGGGACCCCTCTAACAGACTGTCTCTGGGATGCTTGCTGTTCAGCAGGAAGAGGTTTCCAGGACCTGCAGAGGAGAAAGACCAACCCTGGTGAGCACGCTGACGGATAGGAGGATGGATATTGCCGTCGGGAACCAGAACAAAGTGAAGTACATGGCTACCCAGCTACTGGCCAAATTCGAAGAGAATGCGCCTGCCCAAGCCACCAGCATAAGGAGGCAGGTAAGCCCATTCCCACCCACCCATCCTATTGACCGGGCCGTACAGGAAGGAGGATCTTTTCAGTGCAGATGGGCAGGGTGACAGACCCTGGAGCCCAGGGACTCAAGGGTGAGGTCTCCTTTTTCCTCACATGGCTGCGACTGAGAGGAGCATTTCCTAAGCTCGTTGTAGATGTTTAGGCTTGCTTTATCCTCAGCACTCAGTTCTACGGCGCTGTGGCAAAAAGCAGCATGGGGATGTAAAACATGTACTTGGGTATTTATACATGCGTCAGATTCATACACATATGTACTGAAAGTTGAGGGAAGGCAGCTAAGGCCCTGACATATCATGGACTTTTGTGTTCTGCTGTTCTCACGGAACTTCAGGCTCATTTCCATGTTGCTCTAAACCCTGTATGAGCATCTTCTAGAATGTGTTGGCACCATGCTCTTCTTAGCTGTTGCTCTAGTGTCGGATGTTTCAGTTGTTTCTCATCTTTCATGATAAGGATCAGAGGCAAACCTGCTTGGGACAAAGCTGCTTTTGTGTGTTGCAGATTATTTTCCTCGAATACTTCTGGGAATGTGAGCATTTTAGTTACTGAATAGTGCCCTGTAAGTCAGACAGCATTCTACCCAAGGTGACCTCGTTAGGCCTTGTTTCTCTCTTGCTTGGGTACAAGTCACTACGACTTGTTACTGGAGGAGGGCTGGGAGTTGGAGGTTCACACTGAAACTTTCTAACAAAACTCCCTGGTGACCTGGCAGAGCATCCGGAGGACAGCAGGCCCATCGTTTTCTCTTTCTCTTCATCTTCACGAGCTGCCGTCCCTGTGGGGACAGGTTGCATGGCACCAACTGTGCTTGGAGTCTGCCTGTAGTAGCTTCTCACTGCGTCTTTAGTTGCTGGTGTTTGCGCTCCAGTCTTTCCGCACGTGGCTCTTGGGATTGCTGGCCACGGTTGGTAGGAAGCAGTAGATGTCACCTGGGACCGTGGCTGCTGGGGTCGTCTTACCTCAAGAAGGATGACTGCCTCTCAGAGACATTGCTTCTCTTGCTTGGGCGAAAAGTTGGTTTTCCAAATCAGAATTAGTAAGCTAGAGTCAGAGCTTCAAATTTGGGGAAAAAGTAATGAAAGTGACAGCTTCGGTTTTCCTTTTTTTGTTCCTTTTTTGCACTTTCTATTGGTTTGGAGATGAGGTGTATTTCTTCTAAGTGTAACTAAGAATTGACTCTAACTGCAACACACACACACACACACACACACACACACACACCCTACCTCGTAGCTCGTAGTTACGTGTCTACTCTCCATGAGTACTGTTTTGTGTCTTTTATCTTAACGTATTTTATTTTGTTTTGTCTCCATGTTGTGTCCCCACCCACACTTGGCCTGTGTGTCACAGCCGACACAAGAGCGTGGGGTCAGCCAGCCGTCCTGCCGCCTGCCTGAGCAGGGTCGCCCTGCTCCCATCCCCCTTTGGAAACAGGTAAAGGAACTGCAGGGACCAGGCTGGGCTGCTGCCCTGGGCCTGCCACCACACTCCTCCTCTGGGGCGGCCCGGATCAGGCCTGCACTTAAAGACCCAGCTCACCAGGGCAGGAGAACTCTGCTCCTGCAAGGAGTAGCTCTGGAAAAACACTTCGCAGACAGTGCTGATTCCATGAACCCTGCAGGGAGAAGCCTGCTCAAAGGGCACACTGTTGATGTGATGTTAAAACTAGCTGATGCTCTTAAGTATTTAGGTCTGCTTAGCTACTGGGGCTTTGCCACCGCAGCATCTGTCTCCATTTGGCTTTTTGGTAGCGTTGTTACCTCCTGACTATGGAGGGAGAGCCCTGGCTTCATCATGGCTGAGACAGTAGAGTCTCTCAATTAAGGGGGGAAAGTGTTACCTGAGAAGTTAGTGTTTTTTTTTTTTTTTTTGGCGGCACCGGGGATTGAACTCAGGCCCTTGCACTTGCCAGGGAAGCATTTATTCTACTGAGCCATCTCCCCATCCCTAAGAGAAGTTAGTCTTGAACTCTGATGTTTATTTCAAACAAAGGTAGTCAGAGGCTGGGGTGGGAGAGGGGAGGCATGGTAAAAAAGATTTTTCCCTGGGGTGGTATTAAACACCTGTGGGCCCAGCTACCTAGGAGGCTGAGGCAAAAAGGTTGCTTGAGCCCAGGAACTCAAGGCCAATCTGGGCTAACTAGTAAGACCTTATCTTGAAAATTGGGGCCCATGAGATAGCTCAGCGGTCTACAGTGCCTACTTAGGCAAGCTTAGACAAGCACGCAGGGACCGTGGTTCAATCTCCAGCACCACGTGACATACCAGCCCCACCCCCAGAATGGGCTGAACTGGCCAAAAAAAGGAAAGAAAATTAGTGAACTAATTGGGATTGTTACTAAAACTGTTTATCCTAATAGAACAAGAAAGGGCACCTGTTTTATAATAGAGATGATCTTTAGTTGAGGATCTGTTGAGATGGGGCGTGAACCATAAACTGGATTCCAGAAACTCCACATTCGTACTTTCTTTAATGGTGGCCTGAAAAATCCGTAAATAAAGGTGGCCTGAGATAGGAGCAACGTGGGAGGGAGGTCAGGAGTAATCTGTGCAGGTGGGTGGGCAGATGACTGTCACGTGTGCGTGGTGCAGCATTGGTGGGCTTGCTGGGAAGGGAGGGGTGGGGAGTGAGGCTCTACAAGCCTGCTGAGCTGTGCCTTCTGCCCTGGTGAGGACGGACCTGTCAGCTGGCTGTTTGACAGAGTTGTTCTGGAGGGACATTGGAAGCTTGACGTTACGGGGCTGCTTACTGAGCATCTGCCTCTACCCTTGTACGACAGTCTTCTGTGTGGAGACGTTGTTCTTCCCATCCTGTCCACCTTTTCATCCAGTCACTTTTGGTCCTCGTCAATGAAGCAGAATATTGCTAGGCTATCTGAGCAGCAGATTGGAACCTCTGAAGTTGACCAGGGTCTATGGAAGGCGCACCAGAGAATCAGAAAGAGCTACTGGGGAGATTGAGAAACCACAAGCAGTGAACCCCTTTCAGATTCGTGAGTAGAGCTGGGAATTGCGAATTTACCTGGATGCAGAGAGGTAGTGCTGTGAAGTGTTACATCTCACAAGTCTTACATCCATGTGAGGTGTGCGGCATTCGCACACACTATTCCCCCACCATTAGCTCATGAGTCTTGGCCCTCTAAATTCATCTCCTGGAGGCTGGAGGTGGATGTGGTGCTGGTTGACCCCCAGGACAGACCAACTCCTGACAGCGACCTGTTGTCTCCCTTTAGGAGTGGGCTCGATGGCAGCACCACATGTGACTCTCTCCATGTTTCTTTTGAAGTGGTTCCTGGGAGGAGGGAGTGGCGGAGAGCAGGGATGGAGCCGTTGGCATGAGGACCGCTTTCAGCTTAGGTCACAGTGTGGAAGAAAGGAAATGAGTAACAGCTGTGCTCACCAGTGACTTCTCTTCCCCTTCCCGTGTCAGCACTGTGGCTCTTTCCTTCCCCACCTTTTTTGACCTTTAGGTCTCAGAAGTGCATCCTGCAGGCCGGCTCTGGGGGAAGCCAGCCTTGATTGTCACCTGAGGTGGGGACAGTAGGGCTTGAATCCCACAGCCTTTTCTCCTCTCAGGCTTTCCCTTGTGGCCAGCTTGGCAGGGAGACTGAGCATTTTCTGGAAGGCATCAGAGAGACCTAGAGTAGTGTGTGATTGTTTCTCAAATACCAAGAGCTTCCATCGTAGTTTTCCAGAGCTTGTATATTGAGTGGCGTGAGAAGAGGAAAACATTGGCAGGATGTTGTCTCAGCTGGCTGTCAGGAGGGTGCTGCTTTGCTGCTGTAGGATGCGTGTGCACGTGCTGCGTGCATGTGTGTGTTTGTGTGTATGTGTGAGAGAGAGAAACTCCAAGCCACTGAAAGGTAGTCACTCTAATGGGCCCATCTGCCTCTCTGTCTAGTGATAATCAAACCCATTTCTGTCCTTCAACTTGACTATTAAATTTCTTGGTCCCTGGCATTTAAAAAATGTCACATCTCGAATTCTTACCAGCCACGTAGGTTGGCTGCACCTTTTATGTCTCATGAAGGTCCTCTTTACGGGCCAACAGGAGACTGATAAGCCTCCATCTCTGCACAGTGATATGCTGTTGAGGACAAAGGGACATGGAAGGGCTCCCAGATGCACTCTCAGCCTTTCCCAAAAAGAGCCACCTTTTATGTGGCCAATGTTTCAACAAAGTTCTCTCTATTTGTGTCTGTTGGTGTAAAAGCGACGAGAAAAGGGACGTTCTCGGACCTGCCCCAAAAAAGTGATCACACTGTATCCTCCCCCTACTCCACTTCCCTACCAGGCGCGCAGCGGCCAGCAGGTGACCTTCTCTGCATGCTCTGTGTCCTGTCTTCCTGCCTGTCTGCATAGAGATCACCTCACTCCCCTCTCTTTGCAAAGATGCCTATTTAAAGCAAGGTTATCGGTAGCAGAGGCAACCTTTTTTGCTACAACAAGCAATTCCTGACTGGACCTTTGGATAATGCATTTACAACAGACCCTGTGTGGTTTAATCCAGTCTCTGTCATGGGACTGTAACTGCACAACTGTAAGCTAACAAGTAAAATGTGTTTGTCACAGATCGAGGGCCCACATTTTTATTACCCATTGAAAGCAGCCATTTTCGCTTGCCATTCAGTGAGATCTGGGCATTTGGGAGCTTCACAGGGTTTGCATGAATTTGATTCCTTCTGATTCCGAGAGCCCTGCCTCTTGCTTACCCAGTTTCTCCCAGCAAGCACTGCCTTTCCACAACGGTGCCACTCCCTCCAGGCAGATCTTTAAGAACTGCTTCCCAGAGCTGTGATCCACAGACACGGCCCCGAGGACAAGCGGGCACACATATGTAAGGTGTGTTCACAGAACGGTCGCGTGGACTTCTGTGTTAGAGCCCTATGAAATACACAGCTAGAGGGCCAGGGAGATGGCTCAGTAGAATAAGCACTTGCCTGGCAAGCGCAAGGGCACGAGTTCAGTCCCCGGTTCCGAAAAAGAAAAAAGAAAAAGAAAAATACACAACTAGTATTGAGGGCAGGAGCTGTGGAGAAATACTCTCTCAATCTAAGTGGCCTGTATAAAAGGTGACTACTAGTAATGAGTCCTGACTTTAAAGGCCCCGATTGTTTCCCCAAGTCTAAAAACTGAGTTCTAGTAGCTATGTAGTGCCAACAGTTAGGAGTACATCCTATGTGTACTCCGTGTTGTAAGTCCCTTCCAAGTATCAGTTCGGTCAGGCTTCACAATAGACCTACGAGGCAGCTGCTGCTGTTACCCCACTTTGCAGATGAGGACCCTGGGGGCACGGGGTAGGGAGCCCAGTCACTCGCACCAGCCTGCATAGGAAGTTCTGGAACCAGACCTGTATCCAGGTCATGTGACCAGAGCCCAGCCCTGGCTCCCTCCTGTGGGTAGAGACAGCACACTTGTGTCCATTGGTAAGGACAGCCCCAGAAGAAGCTTTGGGTTGGTTCCTCCCCAATATGTGGCATGAGGTGGAAAATCCTTCATCATCCCAGTGCTGAGCGAGGTCTTCCCTGCTCCTGTGATTGCTAGGTTAGGGCTTCCTCTGCTCAGCAAGGCCTCTCTGGGCTTGTCTGCTGGGTTTCCAAGCTTCTCACACATGCCTAGAGCCTGAACATTTGTCCCGTCCTTGTGCCGTTCTCCCTGTAATGAATTATGCCTTGGTTCCATGTTCCTACCCTGGGTCCACTCCCACATGCCCCCACCTCCCCCCAGTTTCCATCTCCCCACCTTCCCTTTCTAATGTCTTGCTGTGGAAATCTGCACCCTGCTAACCAGGCTTCTTCTAAACCTTCCGTTGAATGCCTCTGATCTCATGCCACTGTGCGAAAGAGATCTGTTTGATCCACCTTAGCACTAACCACAGTTACTTATCTGTGTGGCTGACCTCCCTGGAGGCCAGGTAGCCGCAGTGTCCCAGCCCTTTCCTGCCAGGCTCTGCTGTCCTTTCCCCACCCCTCCAAAAGGCATTTTCACTGAACGATTTCTGGCACTGAATTTTTCACTGTCACTTCACAGGGTGAAAGAGAGTATTTGGATGGCATTTAAGTTTCTGCTTTGTTGTCAACAGAGTTACAGGGATCTTGATGCTGACTCCCGTGGCAAGCAGAGTCCCCGCCAGGAGAGGGTAAAAGAGCATGAACCCGTGGCATGGGATGCTGAGGGCCAAACAGACGGGCACGCTGTGTGGTGGGGCAGAGGAAGGGGGCATGGAGAGTGGTTCCTCTCCCCTTGCTTTTGCACACTTGTCACCCAGCCAAGAGCCACAATTCTTTGTGCTGACAGCGTGCAGATAGAGCAACAGTAGGACATTCATGAGGACACTACCCTCAGTGGTTGTGTTGCACAGGGGCCTCATGGGCTTCCCATGCTGTGTACCAGCCCATTCCAAGACCACTCAGTGTCTCTACCCTAAACATTTACTGGTGGTAGAACACCGTGGACTGTTGGGAAGAGCTTCAGGAAGCAGGTAGCATTAACAGTCAAACTCAAAAAATAAATAACCAGTCATGAGTCTCAAAGTAAGAATACTAAGAGAGCCAACACATATCGTGTGAAGATTTTTCAAGTTAAAGATAAAGGCAAGATGGGAGTGCATAATAAAAAGTTTTTGTGTATCTTTTCTGAAAAATCGAAGGGGATAAATCACTGATTGCAACTGGCTATCAAATAACTTACTTTCAGTAGCAGAGATCTCACTTAAAGAAGCCTGCTTATTTTATGAAATTTTTGTTGTCATTGGTGCCCTTGAAGATCTTTAAGTGGAGATAGCCTTGCACCTACAGTAGAACATCTGCAGCTGTATTCTCACATAAGCTGTTTTTATTATTTATAGACAGTTCCACCAAGCACTAAGTCCGGTTACTTCTCAGCTCTGCTAGGAAACTAACCCTAGCACTGTCTTCCTGTGCCCTCGCCAGGCTGTCAGCAGGTGTGTGCTGCCACACTGGGGAGCTGGGCTGAGGGAGGGGGCAGGCCAAGGTGCAGGGTCCTGGGCTGCCCAGGGCCTCAGCACGACCGGCTCTGTGCTCACTCCGGTTGGGCCTGCGTTCTCCCTCTGGCATGGTGTGTGCCCTGGCCCCTTCCTGCTTTCCAGGCTGCACTGTACTCCTTTTAAAGAAGGAAAGGAAAAAAAAAAAAAGCATTTTCATTGAGCAGAGCAATACCCTACATTTCAGGAAATGCACTTTTAATGAGGTCCTGAGTATGTTTAGTAAAACACTTAAAAAGAAGTTGGGAGGGAAGTATTTGAAGTCAAAGGAGAGCTGGCCAGGAGAAGCAATTTGAAGTTTTGGGATACAAGGCAAGGTGGGGATTGGAGCCCAGGAGGCAGCAAAGTGGCTGTTTTTTTTTAATTTGCTGCGCACGCACAGGGCCTCAGGCTAGTTACTGTGAAGGGGCCCTCCATGGTGCCCCAATTCGCAGGCTACTGGCCTGAGTGCTTCTCTGCTCTGACAGCCCCACCTTCCAGGGAGATGCTGGGTCCTCATTCCTTTTGGTGGGTGATGTCCAGCACAGCAATCATCCCCAGGGTTGGGTATAGAGAGCTGGCTGAATCTCTGGGGTGTACAGGCCTGGAGGAGTGAGGTCCCTGCCGTTTCACACAGCCAACCCTGCGGTTGGCTGGAGCAGGAGGTTTGATGAATCTGCTTGGAGCCAGAAGAGCGGAGGGCTTTTCATTGCTCTGACAGTTCCACTGTCCTTCCCACCCCAGAAATACTTTACCCTGAACCTGGTGGGAAGCTGAGCAGGTATTGCTCACCAGAGCTTGTAGCCACCTTGATCTCTAGACACTGAAGTTCCTAGCCATGAGGGCCACCATTAAGGAAGACGCCGCCCATGAGTGCTACATGAAGTCTGCACAGTCCATAGGGGATGCAGGGGCTTGAGGTTTGTCTTCTGATGATTGCTGGGAGTCAGCCACTCCCTCAACAAGCAGATCTCCTCAGGAGCTAGGCATGGCCAGCGGAGTGACCCGGTGCCGGGCAGCACGTGGGCGGAGCATGCTCGGGCCTAGCTTTTCAGGCTTTCTTGCCTGCTACTGTAAGGCTGATGGAATCCTGGACTGAGAGAAGGACCTCTCTGTGCCCAGGACAAATTCCACCTCAGGCTGGCTTGGGGCTTCTTGCAGAGCACAAGGAGCGTGTGTGTTTGCAGTGCCTGTTCTGTCACCGGGATGGCACCATTGTCACCTGGCTGGCAGCATTACCCACTGGATGGGGGTGAGAATACCAAGTGGGGAGGACGAGGCTTTCACAGCTCCATGACCTGTGTTCCGGAGTGAGCATCAGTGGAAGGCCTGGAGGAGGTCGGCAGAAAGCAAGGGGAAGCCTTGAGTTGCATGAGACACTTATGCTTCTGGGAATCAGAGGGTTTGCTTCCCACTAGAGTTCTGTAGCTAAAGGCCTAGAGTAGAAGGGTCTATACTGCCAGCTTTCTTACGTTTGGGGTGTGATTCCAATTTAACATTTGCTTTGATCTTTGTCTCTATCTTGTATTTTATAGCCAGAGCCTGAACCTTCTCGTGGATTTTTTGTTGACCAGTGGGAGCTTTCCCTTAGTCTCCGCTCCTCTACTCGCCCCGCCTCTCCCTCCTCTGACTCACTCCGACAGGTAGCATGGCCGGGACTTGGCAAGGCCGCCCCCACCGCAGCCTCGCTCTTTCCATCTTCACGTGTTCATCGGGGGCCTTAACCTTGGCCTGTCTGTAGGGGCTACTGATGTGTGTGGCTTGGTTGGGGGAGAGGGAGGGTTGCTGCAGCAGATGCCTGACTTAACTGGCTGCTCGCTTTCACTGGGTCATGCTCAGTGTGTCAGAGTTGGCCCTCTTTGATTGTATTTTGACTGTATCCAGTAATGATAAGCAATTTTTAGCCATTGGCTTTTTTTACTTTACATGTCCTCATAAGCATTATGAACCATAATGTAACCAAATGCCTCCTGTGAAGTTGTGACTGTGTCGTATCTGGGGGCGCCTCTGGACTTGTAATCGTGTGAGGAATGAACCCTCAGTTTCCCACAGGGGCACTGGCCCAGTCACAGAGGAGTTTCTAGAGAGAGATCTCTCTGCCCCATGTGTTTGCTAAGCAGTGTGCGCACAGGAGTGCATGTGTGTGTGTGTGGTGTGGTGGGAAGTCTGGCGATTGCTACACCAGTTATTTTTTAACAGTGGGGAGAAGGAAACCATCTGCTTTTCATGTCATAAACAAGCAGAACTTGAATCTTCACCTCTGCAGCGGTGGGGGCTGATGCTTGTCCGTGTTACCACATGCTGGGAACTGGACATGGCCAATGCCTTTGCACGCCACAGCCCAGGCTGTAAGGTCAGAGGATGACAGGTTCAGTTGGGCTGTGCAGGTCCTAGCCTCACATGTGCTGACTGGCCCACATTCTTGCTTGTCCGCTGCAGGATAAAAGAAATGCAATTTTCTGCTCCCTTGGCATCAGCCATTAAGGGATATGCTCCACCTGGTGTCTCCACAGGCCCTGATCTCAGATTTAATATCTTAAGAGCCAATTGTTTTCCTCAGTCACTACTGGATATAATCTGCAAGTTAATGGGTAGCTCATACCAATCCCTGGAGATCTTATTTTTAAATTGGAAATACCATCGATTCCTCAGTTCTAGCTAACCCTTGAACTGAGCCAATCATGTTTCTTTGGTTTTGTTGTTCCCAGATTTGCATCACGTTGGCTCATCTCACCTGAGTACTTCTGTCACTCCCTGTCCTGTCTCCATATGCCCTTGCTCAAGCTAGTGGTACTCTTACTGCTCCGCGTGGGGGGCATCCCAACCCCTTCCTAAGGGACTGTTCCCCTCTCCAGGATACCTGTTTCTAGTGTGAGGGGAGCCACAGCTAATTCTGACTTCCTGGTTCTGACTAGGTTACTGTCTACATGGGTAGCCTGTGTTTGAGGCATTCCACCCAGCCTAGGGTGCGTCACAGGGGTCCCATTGTGCTGCTCCTAAACCCCATTAAATATCAGCAAGGGAAATGGCCAGAGAGGCAACTCCCAGCAGAGGTGGCGAGTGCCTTCACCTAAGACTGGCACTATGGTCAGGAGAAATTGGAACTCTATGAGGTGCCCAAGTACAGGGTCAGCCTTGAGATTGGTTTCTTCCTCATCCTGTGAAATAGGGTAATCTGGGCCTCTGCCAGCTGCTTGGAGTTACTCCTTTTGAACTGTCTGTATTGTTTTAGTCATCAGGATAAGGCCCTTCTCACCCTCTGCGTCCATTCTAGCTTCAGCTTCCTCAGACGTCCCAGAACTGTAAATACCAAAGCTATGAAAGACGCAGCTCTCCCCACTGGAAGACTGTCTGCCCACAGCTGCCGCTCTCCTGTGCAGACCCCAGGGGGACCCCAGAGCAATGTTTTGCTCACCACCCACTTTCCTGCTTATGGGCACTGTGTTGGCATGGTTTGCTGTTGCACTGTTTTCATTGTACACATTTCAGAGATTTTTTTTCTTAATTTGTTTATTTTGCCTTTTCATTACCCTTCATTCTGGTCATTGTGTACTCTCCAACCCGTAGAAGTATATAAAGATGTACACAGGCGGAGTGAGCTCATTGGCTGAACAGATAGCCAATCAGCTGCAAAGGAAAGAGCAGCCCAAAGCCCTTCTAGACAAGAAGGAACTGGTAAGAGCTATCCCAAGGGCACTGTCGCTAACCATGACACTGCGGTAGTCGGCCACCCTCTCGCTTGTTCTAAGGAGCTTAGGGATGTGTGTGGCCACTTGTGTTGCCATGTGGTAATGTTCCTATTCTGAGATTGTTTGAACTTTAATAACTGAACGCTCGGACAGTATTAGATGTTTGAAGTGTTATGCAGAAAAGCATTTAGTTTTACTAAAAGTAACCACTCTAGAGCACACGGAACATGTACTTGGGATGCAGAGTGTGTACATGTATGATGCTCGCCACACAGAATTTTGTCAGAGCAATTTGGTTATGAAATTCTGCACACTTGTGTTCTTTATCCTAACAAATCTTGGTTGTTGCCAGCACTGATTCAGCCTCCACCTTGTTCTGAGAGCTCTCAGGAGGGGCTCGTGTAAAAGAGCTGCTGCAAGAGTACCATTACCCTTTGGGAGAGCCAAAGGCAGGCAAATGTAGCTGGCTAATACTTGCTTCAAACAAAAGCACCCGCAGAGGGGCTGTGCAGCTCTGGGGGAGTCCAAGAGGCCTTGCCCTGACGCCCTCCTCCCCACAGGGCTCCCTGAAGAAGGAGTTCCCGCAGAACCTGGGGGGCAGCGATACTTGCTATTTCTGCCAGAAGCGGGTCTATGTGATGGAGCGGCTCAGTGCTGAGGGCAAGTTCTTCCACCGGAGCTGCTTCAAGTGCGAGTACTGTGCCACCACTCTGCGCCTCTCGGCATACGCCTATGACATCGAGGATGGTGAGTCACCTGCGTTGGCCTACGCTAGGAAGTGAGCATGGCTGTTGCTGTCCACTTGAGCAGCTCCATGGGCCGAGGCTGCATGCCATGTGTGGGATTTTGGTGCACTCCACTGATCCCTCCACCATGTCCCTCTGCTCTTTGAGTCACCAGTCTGCATCAAAGAATTTCTCAGTAATGATGCCAGTGAGGAGGCCTGTGTTGTCTGAGTCATTTCCCTGACTTGCACCCACTTGCTTTCTCACCTCCTGGGGGATCTTAAGGTAGAAAGGACACTGTTAGGACAGAGTCCTGTTGTCCTACAGAAGTGGAGTCACAGGCCTGTAGGAGTCACGTGTGCTGCCTCAGGTAGATGACAGTAGGCTGAAACTACATTCCAAGCCCTGGCTCCTCAGACTTTTGCCTCTTGAAACTGAAATAATGCCTGGTATTGCTACCAGGATCTTCCTACCCTGTGCCATAGGAATAGAGACCCATGCCTGGGGCCTAAATCTGCTTTACTGTGGTGTTCAAGGCCTGGCTTTTTATGACATCTGGTATATATAGTGGAAAAAGGCTAGGGAGATAGCTCAGCAGTCTAGGTGGCTGCCTGGAAAGTATAAGGACAAAAACCAGGTTCGATCCCTGATACCACATACTATGCCAGTCCTGAAACACCAGGTATACCAGGCTGGCCCAAAACCAGGGGTGGTGGCACATGCCTGTAATCCCAGTGCTGGAGAGACTGAGACAGGAGGATCACTACTACTTTTTATTTATTCAGCTTACTATGCACTCAGAGCTGCATAGTGAGCTGAATAAATAAATAAATAAAAGATTTAAAAAATAAACAGTGGAAAGTTTTAGTGTAGTGTACAAGGCACAGAAGTATACAAATAACAGGGCCTAATGGAGGTGGGTTGGTTCCTTGCCGTCTGAAGGCCTTAAGGTTAATAGAGATAGATGACCTAAGGCAGGGATGACTCAATGCCACTCCCATAAGATGCAGGGAGAACTGCGTTAGAGGCAGTTTTACTGGTTCAAAGAAACAGAAGAGACCTTGATTAAGAGGAGAGAAAGTAAATTTTTACAGGAATGACGTTATCCATTCCATTGATAGCTATCTTTTTTTGAGTGAGAAAATTGCAAGGTGATGTCACATAAGACGCAATTAGGACAGTCATTCCAGTCTTCCTGGTAGTGAATAGACAGACAGCTGTGTCAGAGGGAGCCTAGATGGTGAACTAAGGAAGGCCGATGAGGTCATCATGGCGCACCGCGCTCTCAGTGCTGTAGTAGAGGGTATTACTCGGGGGAGGGGGGATAAGGCGTTTAGGTGAGGAGGGCAAATCATTAGGGAGCAAATTTTCTGTTGAAAACTGAGGACATGCCCCAGTGGTAAAAAAACTGCCTAGATGCATGAGGCCTTACATGTATTCCTGAACACTGTATATACAAATTCTCTGTTGCACTTCTGCTACACTCCTGCTCCCTGGGTAACATCTTTGACTCCAAGAATGAGGGTTGTAGATGGAGCCCAC